AAGCCCCCCCCCCCACTCCCTCCACCCCACTCCCTCCACCCCACTCCCTCTATCCCGCTCCCCCACCCTGGAGGCTGCTGTGGGCCTTCAAAGGGCATTCTTTCCCCTGGGAGGAGCTAGTGCCAGCAGGGGGAGCACGTCCCAACAAGAGCTCTGGAGGCAAGGGAAGAATCCAAAGGATGCCAGCTGGCTCAGGGATGCCATAGTCAGACACTAATAGTCTGCGGGTAATGCCGCCACCACATTCTGCAGTGACAGACCCCCTTGGGGACGCTCCCACTGCCTGCCTGGTGAAAGGGTGTGCGGTAAGATGTCTGGCTCGCCTCCTACCACACCGGTTTTCTCTCTCCTTCCCTGTCTACCCTGAGCCCTGCCAACTGCCTGGCCTAAGACTGGTTACAGGAACCAGTACAGCCCCCAGTGTCAACACGGTGAGAGCTGTGGTGAAGAGGAGATCCCGAGCAAAGCTGTATTTAAACACACGTTTTTTTCTTTTTTTTTTTTAATTTTTTTTTTTTCAACGTTTATTTATTTTTGGGACAGAGAGACAGAGCAGCACGGGAGGGCAGAGAGGGAGACACAGAATTGAGAACAGGCTCCAGGCTCTGAGCCATCAGCCCAGAGCCCGAACGCTGGGCTCCGAACTCCCGGACGCTGAAAGATCGTACCTGGCTGAAGCCCAGACAACCGACTGGGCCACCCAGGCGCCCCTAAACACACGTTTTTTTCTTGAGAGTGCAGCTAGCAAGGGCCCATTTCCCCTGATTCAAAAAAAAACACAGCAACCCTCAAGGCAGGGAGTGGGGTGGAGTGGGTCCTGCTATTTTCTTTGCAACAATATTCACACAGGGGGGCATGGAGAATTTCCACTAGCAAGGCGAGCCGTCACTGCTCCTTCCCTGGGTACCATCTCAGTGTGGCCCAGGCCTGAAGCAAGCTTCTCCCCTTTCTCCGGTCCCAAGTGGGTTCTGTGGCTGTCACCTACCTCCGTGGTCCGCAGGCCATTCTGTTTCTGGGTCAGAGGGCCTGAGGTGAGGCTCTGGGGATTCGGGCACTGGGTCCCACAGCTCATCCTCTTCTCTGGGTTGGATATTCCACCTGGGGCTGTCGATCGGGGCACACCGTTGGAGGACAGTCCATCTTCCAGCACACCTTGGGGAGAGAAGCAGAGGATGACCCGTGACAGGTGCTGTAAACAGGCCCCAAGAGCGTGGGGGGAAGAAAGCCGCAAAGAAGAAAATAAGTCCTCAGAATCCCACCATGCAGAGCTACCCTTTTCTGAAAGAATATGTGTGTGTGTTTTAGCAAAAACGAGACTTTAAAATAATTTTGTAACCTGAAACGTTTACTTAACAATCCATCAATCACATTCTTCCATGCAATTAAGTATTCCACCATAGTAGTTTTCACACACTTAGTCTGCCATCGTGTGGATGTGTTTTCATGTATGTATGTATGTATGTATGTATGTATGTATGCACTTATTTATTTATTTTAAGAAAGCTCTATGCCCAACATGGGGCTTGAACTCATGACCCCAAGATCAAGAGTCCGGACGATCAACCAACTGAGCCAGCCAGGTGCCCCTGTATCACCATTTATTCAATCCCCTCTAGTTTGGTTATTTGTTTTCACAATAAATGTTACTGTGGTTGAAATTCCTTGGGGTTAAAGCTTTATTCTTAATTATTTCCTTAGTATAAATCCTACAAGTGGAATTACTGGTTATACAGAGTTTGTTTTTTTTTTAACTTAATTCCATCTCAAGACATTGGACTGAGCATGTGTTCCTTCCGTGACAAATGCCAAGAAATGATAGAGCGAGGTTTAAATAAATAGCCTCACCGAAAAGCAAGAGGGCTACATCGAGGAATTCATGGATGGAGAGTATCTGATTGAAAAGAGAAAAGGTGGTCCAGGAAGCACAAGGGAGAGATACCAGGTGGGAGACAAGAGGCCAGGAGAGGTTCTGTAACAGCCACAGAAAGGCCAGCGGCAACCAGCCGAGGCCAGTCAGCGATGACGGAGCAGGCCGTGAGGTGGGATATTGGGATATAATAAGAAATACATATGTGGTCTTTTTCCCCAGTTCCTGGCATTGAGCTCCTAAAACCCTGGTAATCTCCTGCGTGCCAGGGGTGATAGGAGGATCTTTTGTCACAACATTGGGTCTTTGCCCCAGTTCATGACACAGAGCTCCTAGATCCCTTGGAATTCTGTGAGTGACAGGAGATAGGAGCACCATCTGTTCTAATGAAGCAACTCTTGGAGGTCCCCTTGACAGCTTCAGGATAGGGGCTGCTTGCCAGAAAGATCTAATCTTGACTAGGCGCTCGGAACTCCAAATTGAAACAGCCTACCAAACATTTGGCAAGACAAATACAAAGAAAAACCCAACCCAGACAGAGCTGAGTGAAACTTCAAACACCATTATTAATGAGAAAAGCTTCAGAAGAGGGGGAAAAAAATGAAAAAAACGAAACAAGAATGAGATTAACATTACGCTTTTTTTTTTTTTT